GTTTAAAATAAATTACAGATAGCAACATGTGTTCCACAGACAACTTTAGAGAAAGACGTGTGTAACCTTTACACACACACATAAATCCTGTGAAGATTATTTGTCACATGTGGAATCACAATCCTAACTTTACTTTTCTCTTATTTACCTGTAACTTTCTGTAAAGTCATGATAACTAACGGACAATAAATGAGTTATAAGTTGTGTCACTGGCAGCTGAATGTTTTGTGTTTGGTTAAAAATGAAAAACAAACAAATAAAACCTGATAAATGTACAACAATCTTAAAATTAACGTGTAGCTTTAAACAAAATATTACTACTCATGCATGTATTTCTGAGTTGTACATAATTACTATTATTACATGCAGTGATCCAAACTGTGTGTGTTGAAAGCAAAGTGTGCATCAGGGTTTAGTCTGAGGAGAGATTAGGATTACGAGCTTGTTCTACAATGTCAACTATGATGTCATATCCTCTGTAGTCACGGAAACACGGCTGTGCGTTTCAGGGTGTGTGGCGTGTTTCCTCCCGGGGTCGGGCAGGTCCGGGACGTGGTGCGCTGTTGTCATATCTCCCCTCCAATATTGCACTCGTCCCGGCCTCCCCGGCCCAGGGGTCACGACCCCGCCCCCTCCCCTCCAGGCCGGCGAGAGAGCAAAAGCAGCGCTGGAGCTCAGAGACGAGGTAGATTACACATCACGAGCTAACCCACAGTTTTGTCCTTCATGTTGTTACGAAGTTTAAAAGCTTAAACAAAAAGCGTTTATCGTTTCATTTCCGATGATGAGGCCGCCTGAAATAGCTCACAAAGCTTTCACTTTAAACAGCTGGTGGACAGACCGTGGGACAAAGTTGCGTTTGTTGTTTGGGCTGTTTGTAAAAGACAGATCAGAGTAACGCTGTCTTTACGTCATCAGAGTGACAGCAAAGCTGTGCGGCAGAGACGAGGCTGCACTTGCGTCGCTGTGATATCAAACAGCTTGTTGGGAAAAACAAAGGCTGATTCTTTTAACGCGTCTTTTTCACACACCTGTTCCTAAATACATTTTGCAGTCCATATATTTCTTTTTAGCAAAATATGGCACCAGAGGCGCCTTCAGTGATGCCACTAAGGCTACGTTCACACTGCAGGCGAAAGCGCATCAAATCCGA